TTTATTCTGTTTCTTCCCCCTTTCCCTTCCTTATTGATCCATTCCCTTTCTGTCTCTCAGAAAAAAACAGGCTTCTAAGAGTTAACAACCAAACATGAAAAAATAAAATATAGTAAGATGACATTATATAGAATTTGGACATGATAACCAAATAGGAGTCTCAAGAGCAGGGGCAAGAGTCAGAGATTGATATTGTTCTTTTTTAATTTTTATTTTTACATTAGTTACACTTTATTCACTTTGTGTCCCAGCTGTAGCCCCCTCCTTTTTTTCTTCCCAATCCCACCCTTCCTTCCTCACCTCCTCCCATGCTCCTCTCTAAGTCTACTGATAGGGGAAGTCCTGCTCCCCTTCCATCTGACCCTTGCTTATCAAGTCTCATCAGGACTGGCTGCAATGTCCTCCTCTGTGGCCTGGCAAGGTTGCTCCTCCCTCAGCGGGGGTGGTGTGGTGGTAGTGAATGGCAGTCAAAGAGCCAGCCACTGAGTTCATGTCAGAGGCAGTCCCTGTTCCCCTTACTATGATACTCACTCGGATACTGAGTTGCCATGGGCCACACCTGAACAGGGTTCTAGATTATATCCATGAATGGATTGAGGTTGTAGTATCAGTCTCAGAAAAGATCCCTGTGCCCAGATATTTTGGTTCTGTTGCTTTCCATGGAGCTCCTGTCCTCTCCAGGTCTTACTATTTTCCCCTTCTTTCATATGATTCCCTACACTCTGCCTCAAGTTTGGTTATGAGTCTCAGCATCTGCTTTGATACACTGGTAGGTAGAGACTTTCAGAGGCCCTCAGTGGTAGGCTCCAGTCCTGTTTCTTGTTTTCTCCTTCTTCCAAAATCCATCCCATTTGTCTTTCTAACTGAGGACTGATCATCTCACTCAGGATCCTCTTTCTTGTTTAGCTTCTTTAGATGTACAGATTTTAGTATGTTTATCATTGGCATAGAAGACAACTTCTTGAACAGAACACCAACAGCACAGGCTGTAAGACCAACAATCAATAAATGGGTCCTCATGAAACTTAAAAGCTTCTGTAAATCAAAAGACACTGTGGTCAGAACAAAACAACAGCCTACAGACTCGGAAAGGATCTTCACCAACCCTGTATCTGACAGAGGACTAATATCCAGAATATATTAAGAAGCTGAAAAGCAGCAAACCAAGTAATCCAATTAAAAAAATGGGGAACAGAGCTAAACAGAGAATTCTCTGTAGAGGAATATAGAATGGCAGAAAAACACCTAAACAAATGCTCAATGTCCTTAATCATTAGGGAGATGCAAATCAAAACAATCCTGAGATTTCACCTTACACCCATCAGAATGGCTAAGATCAGAACTGAAGTGACAACACATGCTGGAGAGGTTTTGGAGAAAGGGGAACCCTCCTCCATTGCTGGTGGGAATGTAAACTTGTACAACCACTTTGAAAATCAATCTGGCACTTTTTCAGACAATTAGGAATAGTGCTTCCTCAAGATCCAGCTATACCATTCCTGGGCATATATCCAAAATATGCTCAAGGACACAAGGACAATTGTTCAACCATGTCTGTAGCAGCTTTATTCGTAATAGCCAGAACCTGGAAACAACCCAGATATCCATCAACGGAGGAATGGATACAGAAACTGTGGTACATTTACACAATGGAATACTACTCAGAAATTAAAAACAAGGAAATCACGAAATATGTTAACAAATGGTGGGATCTAGAAAAGGTCATCCTGTGTGAGGTATCCCAGGTGCAGAAAGACACACATGGTATATACTCATTTATAGATCTATAAGATTGTATAAACAAACTAAGATCTGTTTGCTTGTTCTTATACTCAGTAGTTCCACAAAAATACTAAGTTCATGGCTATAATATTTAAGGAGAAAACCTGGTCTAGTCCCACATAACACCTGGCTGTTGGTCTGTTCCCATCTACTTCCAGGGGAAGTTGCTCAATTTATGCAACAGAATCAAAGAAGGAGAAGGATAATGAGGAGTTAGCTGGAGTCTATAATTTTGCTGGACTGAGTAGTGAACAATTTCAGGGGTTCTTCCTGTCTCTGCCCCCACCCCCATTGATGGCTTAGAAGCACATCTTGTCAATCCCAGCATCTGATGTGTGCCTGGAGGAGAGCTGCACTTCACATACTGAGCCATCTTCCCACACCCTTGTGCTAATTTTTCAAACCTCACAGTTTAAAACACTGCCTGCCAAATGGAGGTCATGGGTCCAAAGAGGAAATATATTACCATTGTCTCTATAAATGGATATGTTGTCAAATTCCCTTTTCAAATAATTTATGTTTGTGCCAATAAACTAGTGTGGCTATTACCTTGAGAAGGTTGGTTGTTGAGCTATGTAGAAAGGAATATTTAATGCAGACACTCATATCTGGTCAAAATGCAAAGAGTATTTGACTATTGTAGAAGATGTAAAGTTTTCACATGAGAACAAGGACTTTTGTCATACCAATTAACATGTTTATCTTTTTTCTGAAATTTTTAATATGAGGCTGTAATTATAGCTTAACATTGCATTTAATGCTGAAACAAATAATTCATGCAAATTCAATAAGGCATTTTACTCTATGAGTTACTAGGTATTGATACTGTCTACAGATTTATGTCCTTGCTTTTGACATGATAAAAAAATAGCAAAATGTTGAAATACCAGACATGTTTTAAGAAGTCAAAATCTATGTAGAGTGAGAACCATGATGACAGGCTGTCAAATAAAGTCACAATGAAACAAGTGATAATACAGTCAGGGTATGGATCTGGAAAATTGTTAGTAGAACAATCAGAAAATAGAAGAGTTGTTCCTAATGAAGCTGAGGGATCTTATGAAGTTGTCCAATAGGCAGAGTAAATTTATAGGTAAATAGAACATAAAGACATTCAGGAATGGAAAGGCACATTACTTATTAATTGTAAAAATAATGGAATTTTTTTCTTTATGACTTCGTTAAACCCATTCAAAAGATTCAAATAAGTGCATGAACAATATTTTCTGTTGTGTATGAGTTTAGGCTTCTGTCATCCAGCACTTAGGATCTACATTCAGATAACTCCACTGTAACCTTTTAATCATAATTATATAAAGGCCCGGGTTTCAAATGAGTTGATGATTTTTTTAATGTAAATACAGTTTCTCTTTTCCTTTTTGGTAGAAGAATATGAATGTTTAAGAAAGAAAAGACTGTGGTCTGAAGATGATGAAATAGATTTTTTGTGCACTTGTTACTTTTTATTCAGTTACAAGTGAAAGAAACAACTCAAATTCCCTTAAGCATGAGGGGCAGAAAGGAGTCTTAGTGTGGAGGAAATGCTAACTCAGAGCTGATGGCAGAGGAAGAGAATGCAGGACAAAAAGTGTAACTGAGACTCTTTCCTCAGATATATTGTCTCACTATCTCCCTTCTTCCATCATCTCCCCCTTTATCCTCTTCTTCCATCTTTCTTTTCTTTCTCTTTTTAAACTTATTATTATTATTTATTACAATTTATTCACTTTATATCCGGGCTGTAGCCCCCTCTATTCTCCTCCTGGTTCCACCATCTTTCTCTCTTTCCTCCCTATGTCCTGCACCAAGCCCACTGATAAGGGAGATCCTTCTCCCTTTCAATCTGACCCTAGCCTATCAGGTATCATCAGGACTGGCTGTATTGTCTTTCTCTGTGGCTTAGAGATGCCTCTTCTGTTAAAGGCTAGGCTCACACCCGTAAATATAGATGTTTTTCTTTTGATTTCTGCAGTAAAGCTTTTCTAACTTAATTGAACAGTGGATAATGCCATTTTTTATACCAGAAGATATCCCTCATGCATGCTCTGCTGATCTGAGAATCCAGGATCTTCATCTTTGCCAGTCATCTGTGACAGTCACTGAGAAGAATTCTAGAAATGAATTCTGAGAGATTGTTCCAACACCTGGTTAGTAATAGTTATGTTAGTTCCCCCCCCCAAAAAAATGAGCTATATCTCTTGTGACACTGTAACATGTCCTATCATCCTCACAAATTTCTGTAACTGTTTGATATAATTACTTATGCCCATAGGAAATAAATTTTATATAGCAATACTCTAGCCTGCTCTGATGCTTTGCTTCCAAATAACATGTGACTACTAGAATCCCTTATATGATATTTATCTCCAGAAGCAATAAAATTGTCATCAAGAGTTGACAATAGACCATTTTGCATAGTAATAACCACCATTTTGTATTATAAAAAAAACAGAACTGTATGGGTTCTTCATAAACATGATCAGTAGCCACACTAAAATTGAGAGTAATTTGTGGTAGCTTATTTTTCTCTGCCTGTTCCAGCAGGAGCTGCTTTGCTTGTTGGTCTGATGTAAGGTTACACTGACTGTGTGGATAGCCTAAGGCTGTGCACGTAACAGACATAAATGATTCTACCATGGTCCCCTCAGTTCTTCATTCTGTTCAGTTATTTATTTTTTCATTGTAAGACCACCATATTCCATTAGCAAAGAGAAAATTCTCTATTCTAAATCAACTGGAAAAGGGAAGCCACACTCTCCATGTTTGAACATTCTAATTTATTTATTGTATGTATGTATATGTGTGTTTACATGTGTGTGAATGGAGGTACATGTATTCATGGTGTATGTTTATGTGACAGAACAAAAGGAAGATGAAAGGTCCTTCCTTTCTGCCTTGTTTGAGCCAGGGTCTCCAGCTGTATGTTGCTGATGTACCCAGACTAACCAGTCAGGAAACTCCTAGTCTTTTCCTATAACTGCCTCCCACTCATAAGATGGCTACCCTTGTGACACACTTATTATGTACTGACTTTTGAATGACTCTGAATATTCAAACAGAGATTCTCAAGCTTCTCTCCTGAATGTTTAACTAACTGAGGTGTCTCCAGAAGTAAACATTATAGTTATAAAATGTTATAGATCCTTTCATTCTTTTTTCATTCATTCTTTCTTTCTTTCATCTTTCCTCCCTTCCTTTTATAATTTTTATTTCTTATAGTGGAGAGCGCTTAAACAGTCCCCCACTGCCACAAATTGTGCAGTTAAGCTTCCCACATATGGGGAAATTGTGGGGTCAGCGCATAGAGAGTGCAATGGATAGGCCTTGCACTGGGAAACAATGTTCACGGTCACGGCATATCCCCTGCCACATAAGTATATAAATCACATTGGTATGCCAAACGTTTACTTAAGTTTCAGGTTTTGACAAAAAAGTAATATGTGCTAATGTGCCCATTTGCTTTATGTTAATAGGAAATATTGCATATTACATATTAGCAAAAGGAGGTGATTTAAATTCATACCTCCAGAATTGTAGAAAAAAATCTCTTGTGTATTGTATGGATACAACACTTGTCAATTAAAAAAAACTATGCCCTATAGCTGAGGCAGGAAACAAAGGTGGGACATTCTACAGGCAGCAGGGATTCTAGTATAGAGACAGGAGCAGGGGAGTCAACTGAAAAAGATGTGAGGCAGATGGCCAGATGGTACCTGAGCACAGGTAACCAGCCATTTGGCCAAGTGTAGAATAGAATAATAGCTTATTTTAAGCTATGAGCTAGTCAGAGAAGAGCCTAACTCTATGGCCTAGGTAACTGTAAATTATATTCTGAATCTCATGGATCATTATTTTCAGGGAGCTACGGAGGGAAGAGGAAAAGCACTGCACCCTCCTGCAGCACAGGGTCCTATCAGTTGCAGGAAGAAATGCAGTCTAAATATTTTTAAAACATGCATCTTCCTGCCTGAAGTATTTGTGTTCTCCTTTGGTCTCCACTAGCATTTGCACCCCCTTTGTCATACCTATAGATACACTCACACACTTAAAAACATGCAAATAAAACTAAACTAAAACTTTAATTAGAAAAGGAAATAATCTGAACCAAAACTAATGTTGTATAAAATAATAAAAATTTCTTTTTTATAAAATAGTTTGAATAAAGTATAATTAATTTAGTCTTGAAATTATGATTTCATATTAACTTGTGTTTTAATTAAACAAACATACTGTAAACTGGGAAGATTTATTATACATTAGCTGAAACATTTTCATTAAATAAGAAAAAATGCTTGTATTCTTCAACATATTTATATATGCGAAACATGGTATTTCATTATAGGTGTATTATGTAGCACAGTTTAGCAAATTGAACCTTGTATTTCAGTTAGACAATTACAATAAGCCTGTTGATTGACCCAATGATTTTGCTAGGGAGCTACAAAATTCATAAATAATGAATACACTTAAGGATCAATAGTGCTCTGATTTCATTTGCTTTCATCAACTATTCAAATTAGCTATTTGATACTAGAATGTTTTAATAAAGAGCTACACATATTAATAATGTTATCTATTAACTAAAATTAGCTATGTTCAATATGCCAATCAGTTTCTGGTAGTTACTGGCCTATCATCTCGTACACTCTTTTTTCTGATAAAGGAAGCTGAACCTGCAATGGTTTTTTAACTAGAGACAAAATTCTGGAATTTCCTAGGATTCCTAACTGCTCAAATTTGTTAAAATTCTGCCCAGGACGACTTGGCAGTGATTTCACTTTTCAGTGTTTTCTTTTCTGATTAAGAAAAGATACCTAAGGAAATGAGTTATTTTTATTTTCACTCCATAATGACTTATAAAGGATACTGTACTTCAGGGTCTTTTTTTGTTTGTTTGTTTGTTTTCTTCAATTTAATTTAATTATATATTTATTTATTACAGTTTATTCACTTTGAATCCCAGTTGTAGCCTTTCCCTCATCCCCTCGAAATCCCATTCTCTGTCCCTCTTCTCCTCCCATACCCCACCGAGTCCACTGATAGTAGAGGTCTTCCTTCCCTTCTATCTGATCTTAACCTATGAGGTCTCACCAGGACTGGCTGCATGGTCTTCCTCTGTGGCTTCACAAGGCTACAACCCCCTCCTGGGGGAGATGATCAAAGAGCCAGCCACTGAGTTCATTTCAAATACAGCCCTCTACTCCTTACTAGGGAACCCACTTGGAAACAGAGCAGACAATGGGCTTCCTTTGAACAGGGGGTCTAGGTCCTCTCCTTGTGTGCTACTCCTTTGGAACATCAATCTCTGCTGGCCCACACGTTCTCCTTGTGAAGTTCCTGTCCCTTCCAGGTCTTTCTATCTCCTCCCCCTTCTTTCATAAGATTTCCTGTACTCTGTCCAAAGTTTGGCGATTAGTCTCAGCATTTGCTTTGATACCCTGCTGGGTAGATTGTTTCAGAGGCCCTCTGTGGTAGGTTCCTGTCATGTTTCCTGTCTCCAGATTCTGTTGTAGGTAACAATTAATATTCACTATTAATAAATCTTCTGGTAAAGCTTGCTGTTAATCCTAAACAGCTGTATACCCAAATCACCACACAGAAGCTGGGATTTATTTAATTAACTTAGAACACAATGCTGGGCAATAGTTGCTCCATCCCAAACCTCCAAGTTCATGCAGTTTCTACCATTCAGATTTCCCACAGTATACTTGCTTTTTGTGATATATTAGGTCCAGTCCATCTCTTCATGTCGTTCCAAGACCTTTCCTCCTGCCTCTGATCTCCCAGCTCTCTCCTGCCCTTTCCTGCCATTCTTTCCTGTCCTCTGGCTCCTCCTCTCTCCCGCCTACTCCTTCCTCTCTATTGCTCAACACTGTGGCTGGTTGTTTTATTTTTTCATGTTTACACAAAGTTGAGACAGGTGATGCATAAAATAAGTATCACAATGCAATGTCTGGATTGAAACCAGAGAGCGGGGGGGGGAGAAATCAGCATTTGAATGAACGAGAGTAAGGTGTACACATTGCAAAAGAACATTATACCAACATGGCTCTTTTATAAGACTCCCTGCACTCTGCCCAAAGTTTGGTTGAGTCTCAGCCTCTTCCTGGATACCTCGATCAGTAGAAACTTTCAGAAGCCATCTGTTACAGGCTCCTGTCCTTTTCCCTGTCTTCTCCTGCTTCCAATGTCTACCACATTTGTCCTTCTGATTGGGATTAAACAACTTCCCTAGGGTCCTCCTTGTTGTTTAGCTTCTTTAGGACTGTGGATTTTCATATGTTTATCCTATATTATATGGCCAATATCCACTTATCAGTGACTATATATCATATCTGTCTTCTGAGTTACCTCACTCAGGATGATCTTTTCTAGTTCCCACCATTTGCCTATAAATTTCATGTTTTCCTTGTTTTTAATTGCTGAGTAGTAATACCCAAAAGAACCCCACCATTCAATAAGGACATTTCCTCAACCATGTGCATAGCAGCTTTTTTTGTAATAGCCTGAATCTGGAAACAACTTAGATGTCCTTCAACAGAGGAATGGATACTGAAAATGTGGTACATTTATACAAAAGTACCATATTTCATGATTGAAATCCCAGTTTTGAGTTCTATTTTTTGTTTGTTTTGTTGTATATTTGTTTTTTATTAATTAATTCAATTTACATGCCTTTCATATCCCCCTCCCTCTTCTCTTCCTAGTCCCACTCTCCTTCTCACATCCCCTTTCCCTTATTCCTCAGAATAGAGGAGTAGCCCTACCTAGACACCCCAGCTCATCTATTCACATGAGACCAGAGGAGTTTGTCTTCCTCCCCTTTGGCTTTGGAGGGAAGGAAAATCAGGGAGAAGTTATCAAAAATCAGACAACATATTCTGTGTCAGGGATTATACCCCATTCCCCTAACTTGTGGGCTAACATGAAGCCCAAGAAGTCACGGAACATTACCAATCTCATTTTATGAAGCCACAGTCACCCTGATTCATAAGCTGCACAAAGACTCAACAAAGAAAGAAAAATTCACACCAATCTTTCTTATGAATATTGATGAAAAATATTTAATAAGGTACTTGCAAATTGAATTGAAGAATATATCAAACACATCATCAAGTAGGCTTCTTCCCATGGATGCAGGCATGGTTCAACACACAAAAATCCATCAATATAATCTACCATAAAAACAAATAAAATAAAAAAAACAGTTTTAATTGCAACTTTGTTTCCTTCTTATCCACAGTCTCCTCCTGGAAAGAAAAAAACATTTGAATGAAAGGTAAGTAATATTTATTTTTATTATCTATTTAAAGAAAAGTAGATTTCTCGAGAGGCAAGGAATGTTCAACATTAATGGAGCACAGTGCATGTCTGAGAGTTCTTACAAAGTACAGCCTGCAGATGGAGCAGAAAAGTTGTTATAGCCAGAAACCAGGACTGCTTTGAAATAGTGTCTACTGGACACAAGCAATCATGAACACACACATCTATAGCTGCCTGTACAGGATGTGAACAAGATCAAGTCTGTCAATATTCCAGCATAAATGGGAGAGTGGCTGAAAAGCCTTACCCAGCTCAAGAGCTATTTGTAGCTACCTGATATCCGCAAAGGTAGAGAGTGTCATTTTATTCAGGGAAGTCTTATTTGTGATCATTTGTATCTTTCAATAACCTTTAACTACTATGATCTAGGCAGTGACCTCCTTTGTGTTCCTCACAATTGGAGTTATAGACTCTACAATTAAATTAGTAGTAAAAAAAAAAAAAAAACAGTTGAAAGGTTTCACATTATAGCATAGACCATACCTAATTGGATGTTTTTGTAACCAAGTGCATTTGAGTAGCACTAATTTTGACTCTTGAACCATTAGAAAAACAAGTAAGATGTGAACTTGGTAAGGGCATGTGATAGGAAGGGAGGGATTCAGAAGAAATTGGATGAAAGTATGGGAGATGGATATGATCAATATACATTGTACAAGTAGTTCAAAGAATAAATTAATAAATTTTAAAATAGCATTTAAAATTAATAATTTTTAAAATAGAATAAAAATATCAACATTTACTTAAGTTTCTTAGACTATTCCAGACAAAAAGCTTCACCATCATCCATCAACCTTTTCTCTTTCCTTGCCATTCCCATCTCAGATACTATATTAACCATGGCTAGTCCAAATTTTCAAATTATTTCTAATATATTGTAACTCTAAAGGTGGAGGGCAAGTATAGGGCAGGGGGAAATTACTGCATTTTATATCATTTTTTATGAAATACAGACTTTTACAATCACTGTCAGAAGACAACTTACTAATACTTAATTTTCATTTTAATTACCTCCATAGATTATGCTTTCTCACAACCTGTACAGATCAAGGATA